ACTTCTGATATTCAGATCGAGTTCTAGGTCAAACTGGTTTGTTTGACTTTCAAGAAATTCGAGTTCTAGTGAGTTCGAGAACCGAGGTACCGCTGTATATATATAACTGTGTATAATCAGCATAACAATGAAACCCAACACCATAATTTAGTAATGTTGCCATATATAAAGTGAACAATAGGGGCCCAACACTGATCCCTGTGGGACACCATATTTGACTCTGGTGGCCTTGAAAAATTAATTGTTTACGGGCAAACTGATAGGGATCAGTTAAATAGGAGTGAAACCAAGAGAGGGCTGTCTCCTTAATGCCAACCACAGATTCTAGCCAGTCCAAGAGGATGATATGGTCCACAGTATCAAATGCTGCAGTTAAGTCTAGTAATACCAACACATATACAGCCACGGTCAGAAGCCATAAGCAAATCATTCACTACTTTGACTGAAGTTGTTTCTGGGCTGTGGTTTGGTCTAAAACCAGACTGATATACAGCTGGAAAGCAACAGCTTTTTCCACGATCTTTGAAATGAATGGACGATTTGAGATAGGTCTATAATTTCCTAAATCACTAGGTTCAAGATTTGATTTCTTTAGAACAGGTCTATTAACAGCTAGTTTAAAAGGTTTTGAAACATATCCAACCTAAGAGAAGAGTTTAACACATTTAACAGGGTAGTTCTAATCATTGGTGCAATCTTCTTAAGGAATTTTGTCGGAATTGGGTCTACCAGGCTAGCAGACGATTTGCAGGAGGAAACTAAGCTCAAGAGTTCTGATTGTTTTATATTAAGGAAAGATTCAAAAGTGTCATTATCAGAACACATAGGACTAGCAGGAGGCTGGCAGCTGTATGAAGCTACAGACGTGCACTGGATGGTCTGTCTAACCTTAGTTATTTTACCATTAAAAATGTATTAATTCATCACTCTTAAGAGCCTGTTGAAACTTGTGAGTTTAACGTTGAAGAATTCTGTATTAACCTACACACAGATTCAGATAGGAATTTAGGATTATTTTTGTTCTCTTCAATGAGTCTGGAGAGGTACACAGATCTCACAGTCACTAGCGCTTGTCTGTACTTAGAGATGCTCTCTTTCCAGGCAGATCTGAAAACTTCTAGTTTAGTTAAGCCCCATTTGCGCTCTAGCTTGCGTGAAGCCTGTTTAAGTTCACGCGTATGATCAGAGCACCAGGGGGCATGTTTCTTATCTCTATGCTTTATCATCTTAAGTAGAGCTACAAGATCTAGAGTGCTGCAAAGCAATTTCTCCATGTTTGCAGTTACCCGAAGTTCATTTTCACACAAGACTTCAGATGTAAGGCTGAAGGACTGTGGAAGTTGTTTCATAAATGTTGTTGTAGTTAGTGAGGCAATGGAACGTCTGATACTGTACTTTGGAGCTGGGGCCGAAGGGAGGCTATACTGTATATCAAAGGTTAACGAGTAATGATCTGAAAGCAGAGGATTCTGAGGTATAATAGATATGTGTTCCAGCAGGACACTATGGCTAAGAATCAAATCCAGGGTGTGGTTACAGGCATGAGTAGGCCGATTACATTCTGACATACACTTACATAGTCTAGGATAGCAGAAAACGTTGTTGTTAAAGGATTGCTGTCATTCTCCATGTGAATATTAAAATCGGCAACAATCTGCAAACTCATTGCTGCTGATTGGAGATGAAGAACTACAAAGAGATGAGCCAGGAAGACTAAGAAGAAGAATTTCAAATGTGCTAAAGCTATAAGCACTTTGCTCAGACACTCCTAGGTCAGACTGAAATATTGCAGCAGCACCAGCACCTTTGCCATCTGCGCGAGGGTTATGCTGTAATCAGCTGGAGTAGATTCATTTAGTGCCATGAATTCATTCGGTTTAAGCCAGGTCTCTGTATGGCATAAGGACCAAGACTAAAGTCAGTAATCATTTCATTTATTAGTAGCGCCTTAGGAGCCAGCGATCTTACATTCAAAAGTCCAAGTTTTAGCCTTGCATTACACCTATTATCTAATAATGGATTTGCTTTAATTATTATTAAGTTATTATGACAGACACTACAGTGGAATAGACCTCCACCATTAAAAGTGCGGGGAACAGACACAGTCCCGATAACATGAACCCTAGGTGACGACTCTAAGCGACTAGCAGGCGGTCGGTTATGCCGGTTTGCCTGCCGCCTGGACTTGGCTCTGGCTAGTCAGTGATTTGCCTGGAGACTATGAGCTATACTTTTGGACAGGAGATCGGCACCAGCCCGCGAGGGGTGAATACCGT